ATCCAGAGGCGGACAGCATCCTTTCTCCTGGGGCCCTGCAGACCGGCAGCACACGTGGCACCAGCAACCTCAAGCGTCTCACTATCAACCGTGGTCTGAGAAATGAAATATTGTCACCCTCTACTCGCGCTTCCCCGGCCCCTCTCCTCACCAACGGAGAAGATGCTGCTCAGTCTGCCGACAAGCTGAAGAAAAAGGTCAGCTTCGACTCTAATACCTCCGGTCTCAACGGCGGAGACCTTGTTCGTGTTGAACCCAACAGTCCTGAGCCGTCTGCTGAGGAGCTTGGCTTCCTTCGCTCTGTGCGCAAGAGCGGCAGCCTCAATGGTTTCGATGCTGCGGGTACTTCCGATCGCCCCGAGGCGGAGTCTACCCGTCGTGACCTTGCTGTTGTCCCCGAAAGCGCACCAGCAACCACCAACGGTGCTACCGTTAAACGCCTTACTTTCATCCCCGGCGGTGACCCAAGGCCTGGTGAGTACTGGATGCAACCTTCCCGTGCTGAGCTTAGCCGATTGAGCCGCGACCAGCTCAAGCAAGTCGTCGACTTCACTGTTGGTCGTCAGAACTGTGGATCTGTCACTTTCAATGGCCCCGTTGATTTGACTACCGTTGATCTGGACAACCTTTTCACCAATATTGTGGATATCGGTCTTCGCAAAATTACTGTCTACCCCGAAGAATCGGTCAAGCCTGCCAGGGGCAAAGGACTGAACGTGCCGTCTACCCTGCGGATTGAGAACTCCTGGCCCCGTGGTAGAGATAAGAAGAGCAACTCGCCTGTCACCAGTGGTCCTCTGTTCGACAAGCACATTGACCGTCTGCAGAAGGTTGGCGATACCGAGTTCGTTAACTACGAGACTGAGACTGGAACCTGGGTTTTCAAGGTGCCTCATTTCACCACTTATGGCCTTGATTATGACGAAGAGGAAGGTGAGAGTCTTGACCAGAGCACCATGAGTGCCCAAGGCCCTGACCACCCTACCCCCAGGGCTCACTTCGACAACCCCGCGAGTTTCGATCAATCCACCACTTTCTCCATCGACGAGTCCTTTGTCGGTTCTATGATTGGTGTTGAAGACGATACTTTCGATTTCAAAAAACGCAAGCTTGTTCCTGGCTCTTTCGCTAATCAGGCCATGCCTGCGGAGGATGATTATTTTTCTGAGGGTGAAACCGAGTCTTTTTTAGAGGAAGGCTCCACGGGTTCGACTACTGAGAATGACGACGACGTCGTCACCGAGAGCCAACAGTCTGGCGATTCGGTAGTTGGATCAGATGAGGCAGATGAAATGGATATGGCGGGTGCCTTTCCGACTCCTCATCGTACCGTGGAGCGGGACGACTACCAGAGCACCAACGGTGATCTGGACACCACTTACCCAATGTCGAAACACTTCGGCAGCCCTGCAAAGCCTCAGCTTGATCTTAGTGGCGACTGGGCCGAGCAGTTGCAGCGCACCATCAGTCCTCGCAAGCAGAACCGTGACGCCCTGCGTGAAATGCAGGCGAACGCTTTCCTTGATCGCAACCTCGTGAACGACGAATCTCCCACAACCATTGCGACAGCCCCTCCGAAGAAAGGTTTTTCGAACAGCATTGATCTTATGAACTCTTTGTTTCAGCAGCCGCGCAAGCAAGCTGCCCCTTCTCCGCTGAAGCCTTCTAAGGCACAGCCAAAGGGCTTTGAGGTTAGAACTCCCTTCTTATGTTCACACTGATTATCATTTCCTTTGTCCCTTTCCCTTGTGTCACTTCATCATGTATCTAGGAAATTGCACATCATCCCTCAGATAGTTTAACAAATGCGATAACCTGAGCTAAAACCTTCTTGTTCCTTACAGTGGCCTTACAACAAGCAACCCAAGACCTTTGCTGGCGATACAACACAAATGAGCGAATCCGATGCTGCATTCCATGACTCTTTCAAACCTCGCTGGGGTCCCATGGACTCCCTCGTCTGCGCGAAAAGCGATATGGAGGACACAATCTTGGGGGTGAACCAGACCTGGAAAGAAAGGTTCTCCATTTTCAGCGAGGAGCGTGATATTGCAGTGATGGCTTACAATCAATCTGGCGAGGTATGTTTAAGCTGCTTTGTTGGTGTTTAGGTGGACTTTATGCTGATCATGATGCAGGCCAAGGAAATGCTCGATGTCCAGCGGCTTCAGTCCTCTATCCAGCGTATTGACGGCACTCCTTTGGTTCGTATGGCCAAGGTCGACCTGTCACAGTTCCCTCTGTCTCCGTCTACCCGTTCCCAGTCGGAGGAAGAGCGCTTGGTGTGGCAGCTTCTCAACATTCTTTTTAATGATGATATTGAGGACGACATCTCAGCAGGTGTACCGCCGCGTCTACGACAGCAATTTGCGCACCGGATCAAGAAAGACCGACTCACCCGTCTTTGGGAGGAAATCATTCGTGAAAAGCACTCGCAGGACTTGGATCTGGTTCGCTCCCCCGTGGAACGCGCCGTTCATTTGATTTGTTCGCACCGAGTGGAGGAAGCGTGTAAGACACTGATCGACAGTCAAAATCCCCATCTGGCGACTATAGTCGCACAGATTGGCCGCGATGCTACCTCACGGGCAGACATAGCCAACCAGATCGATGTATGGCGTCAAAACAATATTCTTTCGGAGATGAGTGAACCCACACGGGCCCTTTACGAGCTGGTCGCTGGAAATGCTCTCCGCAGCGAGGGTAAATCAGGCGGCGCCCTTGAAGACCGGGCCTCTAGCTTTGGCTTCACTGAGCGGTTTGATCTAGATTGGTTCCAGGCCTTTGGTCTTCGTTTGTGGTATTGCACTGCTGAAGATGAGCCAATTGAGGTGGCTGTCACCAAGTTCCTTGCGGACTTGGCCACCGGACAAGAACCCGCCTTCCCCCACCCGTCCCACCAGGCCAGTACACGTGCAGTTCTGCAGCCTGGCTCTGATACCCTTGGGCGCGAATCTCCTCTTTGGGTTCTCCTCAAGGCCTTCTCCGCGATGCAAGGCCACGGCGCCCAATCTATTGAGTTCCCGGCCTCTCTCCTCCCCGAATCCGTCTCCGGTGCCCGTCTCTCCAACCGACTCTCCTTCCAGCTACACCACGTTCTTGCTGCGACGGTCGGACAAAACCAGGCCATCAAAGTCGACCAACATCAAACCGACAAGCTCGTCTGGGATTTCGCTTCTGAACTCAGCGCAGGTGGGAAACTTGATCAAGCACTGTTTGTCCTCCTGCACCTCTCCCAAGCCAACGACCGCAAGCGCGCCGTCCAAGAAACTCTCGCCCGGTTCGCCGCTCAACTCCCCGAGCCCTTCGCTGCCGACGGCTCCTCCCACCCGGCATGGCAATATCTCATCACTGAGCTCCAGCTTCCCGAGGCCTGGATCTGGGTTGCCAAGGCCCTGCATGCTCGCGATATCGGCGATGCCGCCCGTGAAGTCGACTGTCTTATCCGCGGCAAGCACTGGAACGACGCCCACGCCACATTCTGTCGCATCGTCGGTCCAAGCACCATCATCGAGGGCGACTACCGTACCCTGGAAGCTCTGGTCTCTGGCTTCGGCGACGGGCCCGAGCGTAAAATGCGCGGCTGGTCTTCTGGCGGTGGTGTCTACGAAGATTTCCTCCGCCTGGTCAACGCCCCCAGCGGCCGACGTGATCCCATTCGCCTGAACCGCCTGGTTAACGCTCTTGTTGCAATGGGCGACCGTGTCCAGGGATCCAGTTTGGAAGGACTGGAGGAGCGTGTTGCATTCAAGGAGATGAGCCGGGCTGTCGCCGGCTGGATTACGCACGAGGATGTTCATGTTAGTTTCCTCCCTTTTCCGTTGATATATTGTTTTTGTTCATTGCTGACTTCTATCTTTCTACAGTCTGTTGAATCCTCTGCTGTTCTGGGCCTGCCCTTGACAGGTGATGCTCGCATTTTGCAGACTGCTGAAATGAGCCGTCGGTACTACGGCGTCATCATGGCGGGTGGCTACTAAGTTTCGAGTTAAGGAAATCATTCAGTTTGCATATGTTCGTTGTGAAATTAGCGGGCACTAATTAGCCCAAGCACCTTGATCTTTTCTTTTGTTCTGCTCTTTTTTTTCCCTGTTCTGTTCCCAAATGATCTCAAATGGTTCCCATGACCCGTGTACTCTACCCTATTGCTGAAAAACTACTATTTGAACCAATTCATTTTGTCTGTCCTTTCTTTTCTGTAGACATGGTAGCAGAATAAAGAATGTGATCACTTACGGCTTCGCGCCTTGGTCGCAGCCCTAAATGCGAGTAAAAACGAAGCCGTCACGAGTCTAGGTTGTGCTCCACTGTATACTTTGTAAGATACTATCGGGTGTCTTATAGTATAGACACTCGAGGCATATAAATCCGTAAAATAGAGGTCGATCACCTAGGTCTTGAGGATATGGACCTCAGTGCCCACAAGTCTGACCAGCAACTGAGTTTCAGCGCCATGCATATTGAAGAGATTAGTATAAACCGCAGCAATTCTTACGAAAAGCACAATTATGGCAAAGTATAATCAAGACGTTCATACCAACAGATCCTAAAAGATCGCTAGGAGCCAGGCCACGAGGTTCTTGAAGGCTAATAAATATTAAAGATATAATCATTTGAGCTATAACACTAAGATAGTTCACAGAGAAGTATGTACAACCGTAACCGCCCTCCCCCTATGATACCGACGATGATAATGCGTCGGATGGGCTGCATTTCTCGTCCATACCCGTCTACCTGTGATTGTCGTATGGAGAATCTGTTTCCTCGTGTGTGCTCAAAGTGTCACACATACCCATGGACAGGTCAAACTCTCCATAGATTGTGTTGTTGAGCCAGGACGAGTCGAATGTTCAGATTTGTGCTTGCTTCGTCTAGTGTTTCCATCGATACTAGAGGTAGGTAGCCTTTAGTGAGGAACAGAGTTCGTATAGACCATTGGAGGCTCCAGTTCCGATTATTGGCTTCGCGTTGAGACGTCTCCTGGTTTAGGCTTGCCGAAGCTATCGGCTGACCGTCTCTCTTGATCTATGAGCTCGAAGTCGATGAAATATGATGTCGACTGGGATGTCCATGTTCCCAACAGTGCGAGGACCGTACAGTCTGGTGCGGAAATTCTGATAATAGAGGTATGCGTCTAACTGCCAGGTCAACTTGAGATTCGAGTCGATGACTTCCTCGGCATCAGAGCCGAGGAAGAGAGCCGGAGGCTCTGGGAATGACAAACTGGGATGAAGACGAAGTCCAGGAAGGCATTGTCACCAGGCGCTCGCGATTGTACGGGGCTTTTAGCTCTCCGGCTACCTTGAGCTCCTGGTTGATATTCTTTACATTGAGCCACAAACCCATTTTGTCAAAGAGAAAAAGCTTGTTGTGCCTCATGGTGTATGCGTGAGCCAGGCTCCGCACAGTAAGTTGCCGCACATCCTCACGTGCTGGGTCACTACCAACACCCACGAACCATGGCCCAGGGGCCGTCAAGTGTAAGGCCAATTGACTAGCCCTTTAGGACATGCCCGAGGATTGAGCCAGATGACTGTTGGAAGCGTGAGAAAACACGGGTGAGTACTGAACTGTCCACTGCACACTATCCGGATTGCGTAGGAATATTGTGTCGTTGTAATTGGTAAAGGAAGCGGACTTCCAAGGTTGGACTTCTTCTTCAGTATGCACCTTGCGATCTGGCCTAGGTTTTGTTTTGATTAGTACGTCCATCAATGTTATAGATTGTCCTTGGACGCCGTACTCACCTCCATATGGACTGAGCCTTTAGTACTTGTCTCATGGAGCAAAACGACTGTTGAGGTTGACATCCAGCTTTTGCACGTCAGGCTCGTTGATTTTCACTGTTTCCTCCTGATTATCGCGTGGCTTTTGGGTAGGCTCAATAGCCTGTCGGTTCCAGACCTGAGATATAGCTTCTACAGATAGGAAGCTTGACCATTGATCTAGAACCATGCTTGTGTAGAGCACTGGATTGTATGTGGTATCTCCCTGGCAACAGAGAAGTTTTGTGCGAAGTCGAAGTGTCCGGGGTTGTACAATTTAGGGAAGGTGCCATTTCGGAAAGAGCTATACTTTGCTACTTTGCTACTTCTCTCCTCTACTTCTCCTCTCTCCATCTGCTATTTATCTTATCCTTGCTATAACTTATTCATCATGGAGCTGCAACCGATTGAAGGAACTCGTGAGGGAAACACCGTGACAGTACCTGGTCCCTTCGAGGGCACCCCGGCAGATACCAATTTAAGCAGAGTCGACAGTGGATATGGCCCTGGCTCGACTGAAGTTTCCGCCCCAGCACCAGCCACGGATGCATCCGCCAGCGATGCCAACAACGTCCATAATCAGCTCGAAGCTGCTGCTGAGGGTGCCTCAGGTGTGCTAACTACCGAACCACATATCTCGACCACAGAAACAACACCGGACGATTTCCAGCCATCGTTTTCAGCATTCAGCAAACGTGAAAAGTTATTCATCGTGGTAATGGTGACTCTTGCTTCGTTCTTCTCCCCTTTCCGGCCAAATCTACTACCCCGTCATGCCAACATTGGTACGGAACTACCACCTCACCCCGGAGCTGATCAACCTCACAGTCACAACATACATGATCTTCCAAGGCCTGGCTCCCAGCTTCATGGGCACATTCGCCGACACCGGGGGCAGGCGCCCAGCGTATATCATTGCGTTTGCAGTATACACCGCTGCAAACATCGGCCTGGCCTTGCAGAACAGTTTCGCAGCTTTGCTTGTCCTCCGCTGTCTCCAGAGCGCAGGGAGCAGCGGCACCGTGGCCTTTGGGTATGGCGTTATAGCGGACATTGCGACAACAGCAGAACGTGGGAAGTATATCGGACCCATGGCAGCAGGTGTCATGGTTGCGCCCGCGCTGGGCCCTGTTATCGGTGGTCTTTTGGCCAAATTCCTCGGCTGGCGCAGTGTTTTCTGGTTCTTGGTCATTGTTAGTGGAGGGTACTTGGTGTTCTATGTGCTTGCTATGCCAGAGACGGCACGCAAGATTGTTGGCAACGGTCATTCAGTGCCAAACGAGTGGTGGCGCAGATCGGTCATCCAATGGTGGTCGAAGAGGCAGGCACAGTCGGATGAGGAAGGGCAAACTGGTGCAGAAGGATCCCAACAACATTCCTCGCATACTAAGCGACTTAGGTTCCCGAATCCTCTCAAGTCTTTTGTCATTCTGCTGGAGTGGGATGCCTTGATCATCATCTCATACGTCGGGATCGTGATGTTCTCGAATATCGCTCTGTTGACAAGCACTCCCAGTCTCTTCGGTCCGCTGTACGGATTCAACGAGCTCCAGATTGGTCTCTGTTTCCTGTAAGTTTATATTTCCCCCTCTTTATCTTTCCAACCCAAGGTTTCATTGACTAACACAAGCTCCCAGACCCCTCGGAGTAAGCTCTTGCCTCGGCGCAGTTCTATATGGGAAAGTCATTGACTACAACTACAAGCGAACAGCCCAGAGGCTCGGATTCCCGGTGGACCGGAAGAAAGGAGACGACTTGCGCAGTTTTCCAATCGAGCGCACTCGCCTGCAAACAGTATTCCCAACAATGGCCGTTGGCGTAGCAGCATTCATCCCATATGGCTGGGTCCTGCAGCAAAAAGTACACTTAGCTGCACCGCTGGTGCTGCAGTTCATCATAGGCTTTTGCTTCGTTGCATCCCTGAACTGCCTCAACACCCTTCTTGTCGACCTATTCCCAGATAGACCAGCCACAGCTGCGTCGGCATGCAACCTTGTTCGCTGCTGTCTTGGTGCTGTTGGGGCTGCTGTCATTAGCCAGATGCTGAGTGGCATGGGCTGGGGATGGTGCTTTGTTTTTCTGGGGTTGGTTATGGCTGTTGGGATGGGATTGCTCTGGGTCGAGAATGTGTATGGGATGGGCTGGAGAGAGAAGAGGTTCCTCAAGATCGAACGGAAGAAGGCAGAGAAGGAGGCGAGAGCCGCTGGGATTCAGGTCGAGGGGAAGGCTGACCGGAGAGAACAGAAGGATACTAATGTTCGAGAATTGGCTGCCGGTGCTGATGCTAGTGTCACTGAAGGAATTGAAGGAACTGATACTCGCTCAAACCAGTGAAGCGAAAGTTATCATCGCCCTGCTATTTTGAGGCGGTAGACTTTGTTGTTACTGCATTCCATCGTTTATTATGAGGATATTATTAGTCGCGTGACGGAAATGGAGAAAATGGGAATATGCTACATAGCACGAATGAAGACATCAAATGCATCAAATTTGCTACCGACTGTACAATAAAGGGAAACCTAGGCGCGATAGATGAACACGAGGGGATCGAGCAGAGTAAAGAAAAGAGAAACACCACCCTCCCTGGCCGGACCAGACAACAAGAAACAAGAAAAGACATTACCGGCCAGGGAGAGGGAGATATAAGAGAGGTCTAGATGTAAGAATCATCCCCAACCCGTTCCTGCTTCTTTTTGAGGGGGCAACAAATGGAGAAAAAGGGTTGTAAATGGAAAAAGGAAAGGTGGGAAGTGCGTTTACATGCCAGGGGAGATCAGCTTGCCCTCGGCACGGCTGTTGGGGTGCCAGCCACCGGCGAAGGGGGCAGCGCCAAGCTCCTTCTCGTACTGGCGGATGCGGGCCTCCAGCTCGGGACGGAAGTGGCGGATCAGACCCTGGATGGGCCAGGCGAAGGCCTCACCCAGAGCGCAGATAGTGTGGCCCTCGACCTGCTTGGTGAGCTCCTGAAGCATGTCGATTTCGCGCTCGCGGGCGTTGCCGGTCTCGAGACGCTGCATCATCTGCATGGTCCACTTGCTGCCCTCACGGCAGGGAGTGCACTGGCCGCAAGACTCGTGCTTGTAGAAGGTAGACAGACGGGAGATCGCGCGGACGATATCTGTGGACTTGTCCATGACGATGACGGCAGCGGTACCCAGACCGGTCTGGGAGTCCTTGAGGGCGTCGAAGTCCATGAGCTGGTTGTCGGCCACGGTCTTGGGGATGACGGGGGTCGAGGAGCCACCGGGGATAACAGCGAGCAGGTTGTCCCAACCACCGCGGACACCTCCACAGTGCTTCTCAATCAGCTCCCGCAGCGAGATGGACATCTCCTCCTCTACTGTGACGGGGTTGTTGACGTGACCGGAGATACAGAAAAGCTTGGTACCGGCGTTACGCTCACGACCGAAGGAAGAGAACCAGCTGGCACCACGGCGCATGATGGTCGGTGTCACCGCAACGGTCTCGACGTTGGTGACTGTGCTGGGGCAACCGAACAGACCGACGGCGGCGGGGAAGGGGGGCTTGAGGCGGGGCTTGCCGGCCTTGCCCTCAATGGACTCAATGAGCGAGGTCTCCTCACCACAAATGTAGGCGCCCATTCCACGGTGAATGTACACATCGAAGTCGTATCCGGAACCGCAGGCGTTCTTGCCGATCAGGCCGGCGGCGTAGGCCTCGTTGATAGCCCGCTGGAGGACAGTAGCTTCGTGGTAGAACTCACCACGGATGTAGATGTAGGCGGCGTTGGCGTTCATAGCACGGCCCACCACCAAGCAACCCTCGATCAGCTTCTGGGGGTCTTTGCGCATGATCTTCCGGTCCTTGCAAGTACCGGGCTCACCCTCATCTGCGTTGACAACCAGGTAACGGGGGCGAGGGTCCTTGTCCCAATCCTTGAAGTTCATGAAAGACTGTTGAGTAGCGGGTCAGCCTGGTTATCCCAAAACACTCGCGTTCGTCCGAATTGCGTGTAGGCCACTTACGTATTTCAATCCTGAAGGGAAACCAGCACCACCACGACCACGGAGGCCGGATGCCTTGATTTCCGAGATGAGCTGCTCATGGCATTAGCAATTGGTAATTCCCTAGCCCGTCAATTGTGCGACAACCCACCCAATCATCACCCTTCGAAATAATATCCTTGGTCCGGTACCAGTCACCGTATTTCATTGATGACTTCAAATCAGCTCCATGGTGTCCGTAAAGGTTGGTGAAGATCCGGTCTTGGTCCTTAAGTCCGCCATAGTGCTTCACGGGAGGCGCCTCCGAGACAGATGCGAAGGAGCGGGCGGCCGCCCCCTGGGCGCGGAGGGAGCGGGTCGAGAGGTGGGAGAGGGAGGAGGTGGAGGGAGCCGCCGCTCTGGATATCATGATGACGGGCGGGGTGACAATGCGTGGTGAGGGTCAAAGGGTCGTGGAGAAGGAGGGAAGGGAGTCGTGGAGCTCACGGCAATTCCTGCGCTTGCTGAATGATCCGCCTTTGGGCTCGATATGATTGGGTGGTGACAATGCACGTGACTATGTCGCTGAGTCAGTATTCCATATTTGGTCATGACGACCTCAAGTATGCTATATCACGTGACTAGTATACATAAAGACATGGTCGCTTTAAATGGCTTCTTTCTCTAACATGGGTTCGAATCTTTTCAAGACAGATGCGGATGACTTTCTCTCTTACCATCTTTTTTTCTTGTGTTATTTCCATCATCGAGCCAGTCGGGCTAAGATGACGAACGGACACGAAGTAAGCAGGCTAAAAACAGTGGACATCTCTTTCATTTCTATGTCTACTGTTTCCTCTTCATTTACTCCTGTGGTACATAGAGGCATGCCTGCTTCAGCATAGACATAGATCCCTCCATCTTGAGTATCTCAAATGGCTCAAGAGGGATCATCACCATTTCTGAGCCTGCCACTGTCCATGCCCATTGAAGCCACTGTGACTCCAACCAACTACTACCCTCTGTGAGCCAGTTAACTCCATCGCCGGGTGCAAATGAGCTTGGCTTTTCGGCCATAACATATTCTTGGAATTGACGAAGTGTTTCACTAGGTTCATCCATGCCAATGTCAATAGATTTGGAAGTGTCAAAAGGCAGAGGGTATTGCCCAAGCAGGAAAGTAAACCATCGGTTGAGACGCGACGATAATCTTGAACGTGCCTCAGGCGAATTATATGTGGCAACCAGTAAGCAAATAACCATTGCAAACAGAGTTTGTGGATCAGTGGATATACTCGGGACGACCTGACTCGCCTCTCCGAGGGCGTGCTGGAAGCATCTCTGAGCTGGCTCCTGCATTTCAGCCGGCAGAAGGCTGAAAAGCTCGCCTAATCTGAACAGCTCACCATTTTTAGTGATGAGTGATGGACGCTCCAGGATACGCACTCGGATCCGGGACATGATCTCGTCTGAGAGAAGCCCGGCCGGGACGCGTGCCATTAGTTCATGTAAGAGGACCTTTGTATCCTCCCAACTCTCACCACGCTTGTGTTCTCTGCCGCGTGTGATGGTCCAAGTGGCAATAATCAAGGCAGCTTGATCTAATGCTATCTGTCCGTTGCGGTAGATCTGGGAGTGGATCTGGTTCAGGGTAGTTGGTTGCAAAGGCAGATGCTCCGCACTGGCTTTCAGGTTTGTGGCATGAGCCATTAGCTCAAAGCTGATCTGAGCGAGGGCAGCATAGATGCTATGGCTGTTTCCATATCCCGGGGCAATGCGAATACAGCCCTCCGTGATCTCGACCATTTTGCGCTCGCGTGTGTTTGATTCCATGACCGTCAATGCGTCGAACAATGCCGGTGAGAAGATCGAGTTCTCCATCTTTGTTTCGGGAGCCAATAGTGGGTAAAAAGGGTTGAAGATGTAATAGTGGTCCTCGGTGTTCTTGGCAACCTGAGGGAACAGTTCTAGCTGGCGAGCCTTGGCTTCGCCGAGCGGGCTGTCCGGCTTCACACCCAGATGAACAATGCGATAATCTGTTGGATTGCCGGCAATGCAGAATCCATAATTTATCAACACTATGTTAAAGTCAGTCTCTGGGGATCCAGACGTTCAAAAAGCTTGAATATCACGGCATGGCAAATGGGATAAGTACATTGCTCATTATTACGAGGGCCGTAATTGTTGGAAATTTCTTGGCCTGCGGAGTGATCTTCAAGTACAAGGAGTCCAATATCCTCATCGCCCGCTCGCCACTCGACCTTCGCCATTGGTCGATGGTTGGGAAGGTCAATGAGCGGAAGCAGTGCCGAGACTCCATCCTCTGGAAGATCATCAGGCTGGACAGCCCCAGATAGGACCTTCGACGAGAATGCTCGGGAGGTAATGATAGTTGAAGCCCAGAGATACAGCTCCCTGCATATGAATCAGCATAATGTTTCTCCGGGTTGAATAAAAGTGACAGTTAATAACGAGTATCCCATACTCACCACGTATACTGTTCACAATCTGGGAATCCAATTTCATCCAACTTAAGATATCCCAAATCATACTTCTGCTCCCATATCTTAATCCTCTCGACGGCAGCCTCAGGAATGCCAGTACACTGAATCCAATCTACATCCTCCTCACCAAAGAACAACGGGGTGGTCAACTGACCCGGCTGAGGCAGGGTACGAAGGTACGGATACCAGAATCCCTCAGGCCCCCGTAGATACTGGCCCATGAGGAAGAAGGCAAAAGTCTCCTCCGGCCCGACCTCGTCGATCCATGTCCGCGGGAGGTCAACACCGTGTTTAGGAAATGAGCCCCGCGGAGACTCATAGCCAATGGAATTGAACCAAGACATTGACACTTTGATTGGAGTGTTGATCACCCGGGTCTCTTTCGGGATGGACTCTGGCCAGTCTTCTTTCACTTGCAAGTGCACGCCGCGCGAGGCGTCTTGTGCAATGCGCACGCTCTTGTCGACCGTGCCGCCATGCTGGGTGAACCAGTTTACTAGCTCTGTGTGGGCTTTTAGCCTTGGATCAACTTCTCTGTTTTGTCCGTGTTAGATATCTTTCATATTTCTTGGTTTGCAAATAACTCTTGAGAATGACGTAGCTCGAGACCGCACTTACTCTGAGGAAGCTGCCATTCTTGAAGCAGGTAGATTCTATTTGATCTTTATTTTTCCGCACAGGTAGGTCTGTTTGCCACTGACGCTGCTATCCAAGAATGAACTGTAGTTGTATCGGTCAAGGTCCTGAGGAAAGAATTGATGCGGGATGGTGGGGGCCCGCTTTTTTCTTCGAGTGAGCTTCAACGTTCTTTTTCACACATCCAAGAACGATCTATGAAATAATACACTCTCAGTCTGGTCTACCAGGATTTGCTACCAATTGCTCA